CCTATTGATCTTTTGGACAGACTTCATTCCTCAGAAAACAGGGTTATGTTGGGTTCTTTTTATCTGTTCTTCTTAATGTTTCTGGATTGTCAGTTTCTTTGTCTCCAAATTAGAGATAAATGTTTGTAAAAGAAAATACTTAAGGTACTTGCCACCATGTCATTTCTCAGGTCCTGACGTTCCCAGTCAGTCTGCTTTAATTATGTTTTCTTAGGTCTGTTTTATATATAATGTCCAGGGATTTTAGTTGTACTTAGTGGAAGGAATATTTGTCATATGTATTATCCTCTATTCATGCAAGGCAATTTAAAATGTCCTAGACACTGTCAGTTCTCTTGCAAATCTTTGCTTTTGTTGGATCACAAGAACATTAATCAATTTTCTTCTTCCATTTATTCCCATTTTACAGGTTAGGAAAGTAAGACAGAATAATTCAGTCAGTCATTTAGTTAGAAATAGGCAAACTTTGGATGTGAACACAGAACTTCATGCCTATAAACTTATTTCCCCCCACAACACACTGCCTCAAGCTGGGTGTCACAACATGATCTGCATAAGCCTCAAAAGCATATAGGCATAGTTTAAAATTCTGTGTTCTCATCCAAGAGCTTTGAGACTTTAAGTAACTCATTAAGTAATTGAATTTCTCTGAATCTCTGGTTCTTCCTCTATAAATAATAATAGGAATAAGGATATCTATTTTCCAGGTTTTTTATGAGTAGTAATAATAAATAAAGTCATTTCTTATAATGGCTGGTCTAAAGTAGTTATTCAGTACAGGATAGACATGTTGTCATTGCTAGTTTCTGTATTTACAAAATATAAGGAAAAAAATGGGCATAACAGAAAACCTTTAAAAAATGGGAGATTAAAAAGGAGCTTGAGCCAATTCTAGAGATTCAAAATTGCTCCTCAACTTGACAATATGTAGCAGAGAGCATGAGCCTTAGCAGATTATTTACATATGTATTACAGAGACATTATGGTTATTCAAGTGTTTGCCTCCCTCATTATGCTACAAACTTTTCAGGGAAGGAAACTTACTTTGAGTAACTGTGAATCTCCATCAGGGTTTTACAGAAGGAAAATGCTTAACTAATAATTATCATATTAAATTAAATTGTTATTTGGACCATCTACTATTCATTTTCACTGTTTATAAAATTGTATCTTAACATCACACTGACTAGGGTGTGAATACATTTGAGTTTCAAGAGCAAATGTTGAAAAAATATACCCTGCCCCAAACTAAAGCGACTGATAAAAGCTCTGAACACGAGGTGACATAATGGTACAATGAGTGCTAGAAACTAACAACCACTTATATTCAACAGGATTAACACATTTCTGACCAATATTAATCTATTGGATTTGGAAACGAGAAATATAAATTCTGGGAACTGTTGAGAATTTGTGAAATCATAGTTTATATTGTATTTTATTAAAATTTTAAAACATTGGAGCTTATAGCAAATATTCGAACACTTAGAAATGCCAGACAACATTATTGGCTTATATGTGGATGATGTAGCATTAGACTTCCTAACAAGGTTTAATAGCACTATCCAGGATCATGTGCTGGATTATTAACTTAAAGACTTATTTTGCTTCCAAATCCTATTTACTGGGGTAACCTTTATATCAGGTATGTAAAATGTACGTACTATTTACATAAACCAATTAGTATTTGTGTTCTAAGATTGACTCACTATTAGCAGTTGACAGTCTGCAAAACACACAAGGATAACATAGTAATGGCTACCAGCGAGACATGCTGATTACAATAGATGATGACTGAATCTCTACTTCCTGTTCTTGGAAATGGAAATGTTGACCTTAACCTGTAGCTTTGCATGTCAGCATTCCCTGCTCTGACTTTCAATTTGACTTAGATTCCTTTGAACCAGTAAAATCTCTAATGTTGGTGGTTCAAATTCACTTTTCACAGAACTACAATAATTTTTTTTTTCTGATTTCTCTACTGATTTTTTACTTGAGATTTACAGAATCATACAAATTTTTCAACAAATGTCAAGAAGGAATTTCCTGAATGAAAACAGTACATTTCCTAATGAAAACAGTAAATAACCATCTGGGTATTAGGGTCAATATTTTCCAGTTATGCAACATAATTTAGATAAGTAATAAGTTTCCTTTCAAATAGCATGTTAATATTTTGAAAACATTTTAATAATTATTTTTCAGAAATACTGACACCTCTGTTGACATATCTAAAAATATAAAATCATTTAGGATCTATAGATGAATAGCTCTTCTCTATTTCTCTCTTTTTTTCATTAAAAATAATACCAGGTACAATAAGATTTTGGAGTTTTTAAAATACTTTGTTTCTGCACTTTACACATAGGAAATTACTAATATACTTAACTAGTCTTTATCTTTTCTCTTAAACAGTATCATATCCAAGTTTATTGGCTTTTAAAAAATAAATTATTGTATACATAGAGTTTTAGCACTTCAAATTTTAAAAGAATATTGCATTCATGCAACAATTTTAGTGAGACGAAAACTTTCACATTTTAAAGGGGGTTACCTGAATATTATTTCCTGTATGTGGCTTTTTGTCACCTAACATTGGCTAGACCTTAATTTTTGCCAACTGTCAATGAGTTGGAATGAATTTTAAGCTATGCATCCTTTTAAAATAAGTTGAATTAACTAATTAATGATTAAAAATAAATGACTAAGTTTTATCTATGCATCTTATAAAATATTTGCCTTAGAATTTCTTATGCATGTCAGTACACATATCTTTTGGGATACACAAGCTATCAAGCCACTGATTTTTAAACATGTATAATGCATTCAATATGGAATCCTCCAACACAAGCTTGATGCTTTTAATGAAACATGATTATACCATCAATGAGACTAATTATTGTTCTATTATAGAAAGAGAAAAAATGAGTCATGGATCTGTAGGTGGGAGATCTGAGATTTCAATCAAGTTAACCACTATATTCTCTAACCAATTATGAACAATGTGTGAAAATTCATAATCATAGAGGATTTTGCAAAATAATGAAGGTGACTTCTTGCAAACTCTAAAGAGAAAGTCCAGTTAATATGCTGAAGAAACATGGAGATAATCCTTCAGTAGTCTTCTTGAATTATATACCTAAGTGCTAGTGAGATGCTAACATGAGTGGATTGATTGAAGATGAATAGGATTGATCAGGGAAAGCTTCACCGAGGAGATGATATCTAAGGTAGTGCTTTCAAGGAAGGCAAGACCATAAATGTGTAGAGAGATAGTAAAGGTTGAGAGATATGGCTGCATGGAAGTGAGAAAGAGAAAGAGAGGAACACTAAACCTCTGGCTAAAGCTGAGTCTCTAAATAGGGATTTTTTTTTTAAGTGATATTAAAGTATGTATTAGGTTGGGAGTGGTATTTAGTTTTTGATCTTGAAATGCACCCTAAGTAGATACAAGTTAAACTCCATAATCATCACTATCCTCCAAAAACTTTCAAGAATAAAAAAACAAATAATATTAAAAGTCAAGCTATATGGATTATGGGTAAAATTTTAATATGTAAAAGTTTTGAGGAAGAATTATAAATACCTGTGACCAACAATAGTAATTACATCTATTTTCTTAAAAGGCAAAATTATTTTTAAGGGGAATATAATTCAATAAAAGTAAATGTTTAAATAATACCAAATAATTTTAAGTGCGATTCACTCAAGCATCATATGGGGTGGTGATGACGAAAGCCAAATACTTATTTTTATCAAAATCAGAGAAATGTCCAGGAGTAAATAGATATCTAAAAGACATTCTTTAGGCAGCAACAGTAACAGCAGATGCAGCTAGGGATCAGATAAAATACAGAATTTATCTTTTCTTTTTTTTCTGCTCATGTCATCTACGGCCATAAAAAATAATAGGCTTGTAATTATGCAACTTGCTGATATACTTATTTTAAACAGAATTTTAATTGTTTATAAATCAAGTTTTTCATTCTACTAGCACAAATGGTGAGATTTTTATTACTTCTCGTTGGCAATGAACTTGGTTATGTATAAAAAAGTGCGCAAATCAAATACTGTCGGTATGTTTTTTTTTCAATTTGTCATTATATTAGTGCCCTTAATGTAGTAATGAAGAGTAGCACTGATTTACACTACAAGGCTTGATCAGTATGCAAGTAAAAATAAATGCTTTATGTGCTAATTTTTATACCATTATCCAGAATTATTTCTCAGCTCTCAACTACTTCTTGTTGTGGTTATCAACTATGTTATTGTTAAGTAATAGAGTTTCTTTCAGTTTGTAAAGAGCACTTTAGAAATTAAGAAACTGGCATCACAAAGAACATTTTGAGGATTTAAATATCCTTGCGCATAAAAAGCTTGTCTTCTCTGAGATACAGGGGAAGAAAATATGATCATGATTAAAATAATTTTGCCTTATTTCAGTGGTACTAAAAATTCTATAGTTCTAGAGAAGTTATGTACAGTGCAGGAGATTAAAACTAGTTGGCAAAGATTTTGCTTGAAATAGAAATCGAGAATGTCTTCTGTGAAATTCTCTCATTATATATTATACAGCATAACGGCCTTTAATTACGTCCCTCAGAGCACAGTGTGTTTACTTATTCCTGCAGAATCACAGTTAAAGGAGAATCATGTAACTTTTAAGGCACAGAATTCATGTGTTGCTTAATCTTATTTCTCCAGCTCTATATATCTTTTGCACATCAGTCTACAAAGGCTTTGTATTTTTATTAAAAACAAACAACGAAATAAAAACTAAGTGACTTCTTTTATTTATTCTTTCAACAAATATTTAAGTAGGGCCTACATAGAAAAGAAATAAATGGAGAGTTTGGTTTCTGTCTTCAATAAAGTTAAAATCTAGATAGGGTATCAACTTTTTCAAAGTATTATTTGAATGAATAGGTTTTAAATGGAAGATAAGTAGAGCAATACCATAATAAGGTATTTTGTTTGGTTGGTTGTTTGACTTGTTGCAGGAGGATCAAGTGCTAAAGAAGTTTAACTTTCTCGAGAAAGAGGACTCATGGGGGGAATCCTGAAAGGCATCATGGCTGGCTGTTTTCCATGGAAGACAGGTAATGCTTGGTGCAGGTCATGGGGGAGTAGATAATCAACTTGTTTTTGTTGACAGTCTAAAAGAAGAACCCATAAGACCCTTGGCAGACAGACAGGACAAGAAAACAAGCAGGGGTTGGGAGAAAACTCTAAATTCCAATCACTCTACAGGTTGGCAGTAAGGACTGTTCTTGAAGGTGCTGAAGCAAAAATAGAGAAACAAGTCCAGAAATACATGCCAAAATATTCTTGACCAAGTTAAATTGATTAGGCTTTTTTCCCGAACGTCATAATAGGAAAAAGGAAATTCCTCTGGTTGGTCTTCCCAGTTACCCAAATGATCCTAGAGGAGTTAGGAGCTCTGATTTCTGAAATTGGGCTGGAATGCCACCCCTGAGTTATAGGGAGAGGAGAGCATACGTACCTGTAAGTGTTGCAAAGGTGTTAAAAGGGGCTTTTGTGTGGGTGAGAGCATTCACATTAAGGCTCACATGGTAGATAGTACTTAAAATTGTTCTTGTTGTACAGGATTTAAATGGACAGCTTGACAACTTATATTCTAACAAAAGTGCCCCTTCAACTTTAAGTAGAACACTCCACAATCACCGAGCTTCTTAAGAGAATTACATTGTCAAATCTTCTCAGGAGATTCTTTATTGTTATGAGTCTTTTAGGTACATTAACCTCTGCAGAAAATGGTGGTAGAAGTGATTCTCAGAATTTCTAATATATATGTCTCTCAACTATAACAGTCTAACTTTTTAAGCTATATACTTTTTCTAACCACAAGCACTTGCTGATGAAACATCTCTGGATTCTATTTTTCTAATTTATGTTTTCATTTTTTTTTGTTTTGTTTTTAGAGAGGGTCTTGCTCTATCACTCAGGATGTAGTGCATTGTCATGATCTCGGCTCACTGTAACCTCCATCTCCTGGTTCAAGTGTTTCTCTTGCCTCAGCCTCCTGAGTAGCTTGGGATTACAGGCATGTGCCACCATGCCTAGCTAATTTTTATATTTTTAGTAAAGATGGGCTTTTGTCATGTTGGACAGGCTGGTCTCAAACTCCTGACCTCAGGTGATCCATCTGCCTCAGCCTCTCAAAAGTGCTGGGATTGCAGGCATGAGCCACCATGCCCAGCCTTAATTGATTAATTTATTAATATATATTCACCAAATCATTACTTAGGGCATCATTTTTGCCAAGCACTGCACTAGGTCTGCATATACAACAATGAAAAAAAGCATGGCTATTTACTTAGTTTTATTGTGGATATTTATGGGGTACATTGTGAATTTTGATATATGTATACATGTATCTATATACACATTGTGGAATAATTAAACCAAATAATTAACACATCCATCACCTCACCTTCTTATCATTTTTTTGTGATGAGAACACTTGAAATATACATTATTATTTACTATAGTAATGGTGTTCAATATATCACTAAAACTTTCTCCTTGTGTCTAAAACTTTTTACTCTTTGACTGACATCTCCCCTTTTCCCATCCCCAACTCCCTAAAAGAAAGGGATGAGGTTACCTGAGATGGGGCATGAATATAGGACTTTAGGAATAATATTGAAGGTAGGCTGACGACACTAGAGGCTGAATATTACTTCTTTCATTGTGTTTTGATAATGTGATCTCAGTGTTTGAGTGCTGTATGTAGCTGCTTATATAAGCATGAGCTGTGTTTATGCCTGATACCAGTATCAAGTATTAGTCATGATGGGAAGCTTCATTATATGTCTCTCATCACAGAATTCTAATATTGATCCAGAGACATATCAAAATAATGACTGATTTTTATCATGGAAAAACATGTCATACATTTAGCTAAACTCTTGAATTTCATTGAGATTGTTGGTGTATTCATTGGTAAAATTGGAAGAACAATAAAATTTAACATGTAAACATAAACATAATGTTGAACTTGCATGAAGTCAAAATTTGTTAAACTTAGCAAAAACATCTTAAAATATCTTTTGAAAACAAGATGCAGAGAAAGAATGACTCATGGAGTTCATCTTAGAGTCACGGAAGTTGAATTTTTACCAAATAATTATTCAAAACCATTGCTACGATAAAGTAGCAAAAGCCAAAGACATAGAAAATGGCATTTTTGCTTATTATAAGTAAAATTTTTGGTAAATGGGATTTTTAACTAATCATATTTAATATCTGAAATATAGCCAATGAAAATAGTGCCTTTTATAATTTGAATATACACAAATCAGAATGTGTTATAGATCTCAAGGGAAATTTAGAGTATTTGCAAAAGCACAATTGTCCATAATAAAATGTGTACTTAAGACAGAATAAATGGTGTAACAACAATCTACAAATTACCACATAACTTTTATGTGTATATATATCTATATCTATAGATATATATACCAAAATTAGCAAATGCATCTGCCCAACTATCATTTATTTACAATATGTCAAGAATTGACTTGAGATCTGCAGTATAAAGTACCATAATATCTCAGAGTAACATTTAACATTTATTACATATTTCCTGTACCGGTCACCTGGTTAGGCATGTTATATCACTTTATCCTTACAGCAACCTCATGAGCTAGGTAAAAATCATTTTATAAAAATAATTAAAATTAGGGTCTTCAGAGGTTAAGAGGATTGCTTTATTAGTCCATTCTCATGCAGCTATGAAGAAATACCCAAGAACTGGGTAATTTATAAAGAAGACAGGTTTAATTGACTCACAGTTATGTATGGCTGGGGAGGCCTCAGGAAAATTACAATCATGGCAGAAGGAACCTCTTCACAGGGCAACAGGAGAGAGAGTGAGTGCAAGCAAGGAAAATGCCAAAGGCTTATAAAACCATCAGATCTCCTGAGACTCACTCATTATCATGAGAGGAGCATGGAGGAAACCATCCCCATGATTCAATTGCCTCTACCTGGTCCTGGCCTTGACATGTAGGGATTATGAGGATTACAATTCAAGATGAGATTTGGGTGGAGAAACAGAGCCAACCCATATCACTTGCTTAAAAATACTTAACTGGAAAATATAAGAGCCTTGACTGAAATTCACTTCTCTATGACTCCAATTCTTATTGTCCTTGACACCAAGAGGATAGACAGACATTGACTTCGTCCATTTAAAATAAACACCAATGAAGAAGAAATAATTTTTACACAAGAATGTATATACATTTTACATATTTACAGATTCTGTAATATTATCATACATGTATTCTTTAATTTTTCTGTAAGTTATTTGACATTAATCTAGTTGTGTTGATGAAATTTTCACTTTCTTTTGTTATTTGCCACCAAATTCAAAATATAATGCTCGTACTTTTTAAGAAAAATAATTTTCATCCAAGTGAAACTTTGAAAACTGAAATTTGGGTTTATGTGCAATATTGCAAGTACATGTCTCATCTTGTCAAATAACATATGTTTCCTGACAATACAGAAAAACAACATATTTTAATCAAGTCAATATATTTCAATATATTACAGATCTTATATATATCTACAATTCTCACATCTACAAATGTTTAGATTCTCTGAAAGGTAAGTTATGAGCCCTGTTTCTTCTGTATTTATAACAGAAAATGTTTCCACTACAATTTCTTACATTGTGAATTTTTTTAGAGCTGTGAGCATGTAGAAAATGTGGTGAAAACCATGGAAATAGTTGACTTCCTTATTGAAGGTTTTTTATGTATAAAATGGATAGTATCTCCCTCTATCAAAAAGCAGTTAATTTTGTGGGTTCTTAATTCTTTGCTTACATTCCTTTTTGTTAGATTTTTTTAATGATCCTTTAAGCCCACATCTATTAATAGCTCACTTTCCAAGAAATATACATATATGCTCACAAGAACTCCAAGAATAAGACTGTTGAAACCTAAAGATATTTTTAGCTTGTTAGTACAAGCTTTGTTTGAGTTACATACATCCAAAAAATATTTTGAATACAAGTAAATGTTTTACTCTAACACTAGACAGGTAAGACTCAATGTAAGATGCTAAAAATTATCTTGTGTCAAAGGAGGAAAAAGAAAGACATAATTTTTGGTATTAGAGTGCATAAATATAACTTTGACTTAAACATGAGATTAAGAACATTAAGATAATTAAGCACAAGACATAAAGAAATTAGAGATCACTCAATCATATCTTTTGACACCTGATGGGTTTTGTGAAATTAATATGTTATTTGGTACCAGTTACCCAGGCACAAATTTCTATCTCTCTAGTTCTACTTTTGCCCTAACTCCGAATTCTTCATGATTAAAGACTCTGCTCTTCCTTTAGCATTTCTTGATAAGCAATCAACATTTTAGAACAAATCTTTATGTCACATAGCATAAGTGCAGAGAAAAAGTGAGGAGCTATAAAGCAACATTTAAAAAAAAAAAAACTGGCATTGTCTCTCTTCTCCAAAATGCATATTTGCAATCAATCTATTAGTTCAAACTACAAATGCAACAGTGTTCTTTCTTCCTTTCTCCAAATTGGAGAAGAGGAGAGACTTTTAGAAGAATCTGAGAAAACAGGAAACCTTAGTTTTGTCTTACAAGTCAAGGAAGCAGTTATTAAGAACATATGGATAAGCATGAAATCAAATCTTATTCTCTGCAAAGGAGCACAGTTTGAAAGTAGATGACTCCCTACTTAATAATGTGAAGTATTAATTCCATAGAAGACCTGTAGCCTGGCAAACCATGGGGCAATTAGGAGAATAGTGCTCTCATTCTTAGAAAGCTTGGATGGAAGTGTGTCTCAGAATTAATGTCTGTTATTGTCCTGGAAGAAATAAATGTGTATGTTGGGACAGAAGGATGTAGGTGTGTGTCTTATTTAAGTTATTAACTGAGAAACAGAGAGTCAGGTTTACATGACTGCAGCTATTCCAATGAAGTAACAAAGAGCATAGACTTGGGAATGTTTAGCAGAAGAAAGATCATAGACCTGGGAATGTTTAATGGACTGCTCTGTGGGCCACCCAGAATTTCTTGCGG